TATATCATCTATTTCATCTATATCATCTATATCTCTATCTCTAGATATATAGATAGATAGATTATAGATAGATAAATAGATGATATATAGATATATGAGATTGGCTCAGGATAGGACAGAGTTCAGAGCTATTGTGTATAGGGCTGCTATGAGTCTCAGGCCATTCAACAGCATGTAACAACAACAACAACAATAAAACAACAATACAATAACTGTCAAATCAGAACTGACTCATAGCTGACCCTCCAGCTGGTTTTCAGAGCCAGTAAATCATACAGGAAGAGATTACCCATCTTTCTCCTGCACTTGGGCTGGCAGTGCAACTCCTACATAAAGCCACCAGAGTTTCCTAATTGAGTATAACACTAAATTTTGAAAACTAAAGAGTGTCCTAAGTGACTCTAGCCCTGATACCATAAAGCAAATGAGTGACACAGAAAAGAAATATTTGAAAATTCTGCGTGATGTTTCTTTCTGGGAGATACCAGTTCCAGATCTTTTTCATGTTGAAATCACGAAAAATTAAAGGGGTTCCTTCCAGAACAAAGATGGGTCATTCAGTGTTGCTGCAAAGCAATACACAAAAGCAAAAGGAGATGTGTGCCAGCTTTTAAGCAAATTGTTTTATAAGGTGATGCCAAATTGTGAGAAGATTCTATAATGGATGATTTATTCATCTAGAGTCACTGAGAGTTGATACTGCTTTTGCTGCCAATTATTTGCCTTGGTAGCACATTATTTCTCCCCTAGTAGAAGCTGTCATTCTATAGCTTCAAGTAAGATTAATTTTCATTTCATAAAGGGGATTTCCTTTTTTTTGGGGGGGGATTTTCTTTAAGTGGCAGAGATGCTTTCAAAATATGATCTAGTGCTGAGACCATATCTAATGAGATTAAAGTGGAACACATGTAAACTTAAAGTAAGATGTCTGTCATGTTGGGCTTTCCCTGAAAGTCTTCCCATGCTCATTTTACTGGTAACATTTTATTAAGGTTTGATGTCAGAAGAGACTCTGAAACCTGCTCTGAAATGTAGAGAAACTAAAGCAAAATTAATAAGTGATAAAGTAAGAGAACCAAACAGTATTTTAAGGGAAGTTGGAAAAGACACAAAATACTACAACACAGTGTACAAAAACTTAGAGTTAGAAAACCAAAAGAGAACAAACACTTGGCATTTCACATGCTGAAAGCACTGAAGAACAACTTCAAACCTAAGCTGCAATATTGAAGAATTCTGTGGGAAAATATTGAATTATATAAAACTCAAACTCACTGCTTTCGAGTCAACTTAGCTCCAATTCATAGTGATCCTTCATAGTACTTTCAAGGCTGTAAATTGCAATGGGAAGAGATTCTTTTCCTTTGGAGTACCTGGTAGATTTTAACCACTAGAAATACAATGTTTTAGTTAGTGGCATAATACCCTATAGACTAAGCCACTTAGAGTTCCCTTTCAAATGACATTGAAAGCATAAATATAAGCTAAAAGAAATACAAATAATCACTGTGCTAAAAAAGAGTTTGCCAACACTGAATAATTTCAGGAAGTAGTATATAATCAATAATACGGAAGGGAGAATTTCAAGCTGCATTGAAAGCATTGGCATAAAGCAAGGTTCTATGAATGAATGTAATACCAGGTGAAATGTTTCAACAGACAGATGTACCCTGGGTGTGTTCACTTGTTTATGCCAAAAAATTAGGAACACAGCTACCTTGCCCACTGACTGGAAAAGAATCTTAGTGTTTATTAAAATTAGTGGAACATGGAAATTATTGAATAATATAACTGATCACACACACACACACACACACACACATACAAGAAAAATCTTGAAGATTATAAAAAATGACTGGTGCAAGTATATTGATGGACAGTATTCCAGCTGGATTTAGAAGAAGCCATGGAATAAAAACATTCCTGATGTCAGACAGATTTTTTCTGAAAGCAGTGATTGTTAGAAAGATGTTTAATTGTGTTTTATTGACTATGAAAAGCACCATACAATGTACATCACAATAAATTATGGATAATATTGTGAAGAATGAGAATCCCAGGACACTTAACTGTTCTATAGAGAACATATGCATAAACCAAGAAGTTGTCATTAAAAAAGAACAAGAATATATTGCATGATATGAAATCAGGAAAGATGGCACCAGGGAGATATATATCCTTAACACATCTATTCAATTCTTAATCTAAGAAGTTGGACCATATAAAGAAGAATGTAGCACCGAGATTGGAGGAACTGTGCTATGTAGATAGTAAACCTTTGCTCTTTGAAAGTGAAGAGGACTTCTTGAAGATCAAGGACTACAACCTTAAGTATAGATTACACCTCAACATCAAGAAAAAAATTCTCACAGCTAGACCATAGAAAGCATCTTGATAAATGGGAAAAAATTGATGTTGTCCGAGATTTTCTCTCTCTTGGATCCACAGTCAATACCCATTGAAGCACCAATGAAGTAGTCAAATCAAGTGCTTAAAAGAGCAAGGGTGTCAGTTTAAAGACTAAAGTGTAGCTGACTTAAGCTAAACTATGATATTTTTCAGTTGCTTCATGTGCATGTGATTATTGGACAGTGAATAGGGAAGGCTAAAGAAGAATTGTTGCTGTTGTGTACAGTAGAGTTGGAACCCTTCAGTGGGTTTTCAGAGGCAGTTAATCACACGGGAGGAGATTGCCCATCCTTCTCCCACAGAGCAGCCGGTGGCCTCAATTCATGTGCCTTTGGAATTGCAGTGCAGCTTCTTGCCACTAGGCCACCAGAGAATTAATGCCTTTGAATTTTGGCAATATGTACTGAACATACCAAGGACTTCTAAAAGAACAGCAACAACAATCTGAAGAAGAGAAATCAGAGTGTTCCTTAGAAGCAAGGATGATAAGACGTGGAGTTTTGAGCATGTTATGAAGGACCAGTACTTGGAAAAGGACATTATGCTTGGAAAAGTCGGTGAAAGAAAAATACCCTCTCCAGGATGGCTCTTCACAGTGACTTAAACAGTGAGAACAGTGCTGGACAGGGCAAGGTTTTGTTCTATTGTAAACAAAGTTGCCATGAGGTAGGGTCACCATGAGTTGGAACCAACCGGATGGCATCTAACAGCTACAACAACAACAACAACAACAACAACAGAAAATGCAAAATGTAAAGGGCAGAGACAAAGATATTCAGAAGGTTACTAGGAAGAAGTGGTGTAAAAAGATTTCATGAAAAACAAAGCTGAGCATGTAAAGAGAAGTAGAACAGATACTTTTGTTCAAAGGGCCAAGAATAAAGGTTATACTTTCTAAAGAGAAAGAGAGATGAGTCAGGAAGTATTCTGGTGAAGAATTAGGATTAGAGACAGTAATGATTAAGTCATAAAAGATGGCTTTGGTTGGTCAAACAGGAATCCCCTACCTTAACTCATTACCTAGATATATTCCACTTCACCTCTTGCTAGGGAATAGGATTCCAGAGACTTATGCTTGAGTAGGAACATCATATACCGGAGCTATTCGTTTGGTGACTGGTGTTAGATTTCTAGGAATATAACTTCCCAGAACACTTCCTGTCCATCTCCTTGGGATGTGTTCTAGAGCCCAATAGGGACCACTGAGCTGAGAGAAAATTGCTATGAGAACTAGAGCTAACACCTTGGGGAATAACTCCTAAGTGGACAAGACAGGGAAAGAGGGTACAGTGGGTTTACAAGGAGAGATGAGATAGGAAAGGAAACTGACAAAATTGATCAAATTTGATGAGGACCAAAGCTCCATATGTCGTCCTTGTCATTTTCCTGTTGACCAAACACGAAATGCTCCACTTTGCCACCACAGAACAAATCTTGTCTCCCAGCCTGCTATCTTGGATCTTCAAACTCTTTCTTCAAATCCTCCAAAGAAGATAAAGTCTCCTCTTCATTCAGTGAATGACACTACTGGAGCTTCTCAGGCAAGATGGTTGGAATTTGCTCCAGGGATGACTCTTTGCCATCTCTTTGGGTACAGTTCCCAGAGTGGACCCGACAGAAAGGAAGACCCTCAACCAGATGGATTGACATAGTGACTGCTGTAATGGGCTCATGTGTCAGAAGGAGTGAGGATGGCTCAGAAATAAGACAGGGTTCAGATCCATTATTCCTAGTTTCACGGAGGGTGATACTTGACTTTGCAACACCTAATAACAACTTTTGGCTACATTCTACATTTTTTCTGATCCTACAATGATGAAGAGTATTGAATATACCTTGGACTGCCAAAAGAACAAACAAATCTGTCTTAGAGGAAGTGCAATTATTTCAGAACGGGTACTCTTTAGCTGTAAGAATAATGAAACTTCATCTTATATCCTTTGGCTGTGTTGTCTGAAGGAATCAGTCCTTGGAAAAAGACCTCATAATGGGAAAGGTGTAGCAAGATGGATTGACATAGTGGGTCCAACTCCATAAAGTAGTCTTGAAGCCATAATACCTGTGAAACCAGTAACGCTGCTAGAACAATGAAAAACATTTTAAAAATATTAACTTTTTCAATTCAAATTTAATCTGTGTTGTACAGTAGAAATTAAAATTAGTTGTTTACCATACCAATATCAATATTATTTAATAGCAGTGCTTCTTTCCCTATTGTCCAAATACTTATTGTTTGATAACTTCTTATAATAATGAAATACAAAAATGTGTGACAATTTTCTGTTTTTAAAAAAATGACACAGCTTTGATAACTAAGGTTTTAAAAATTCCAACAGAACAAGACATTTCCCAAGGTAAATTCCTTTCTAGTTTCTTTGTTTCAGAAACTTCACACACTTTTAGAATTTTTTACTGATGTGATACTGAAAGTCCAAATATTTTTCAAACCAAGTATTAGGTGTTTGTTTTGAAAGTATTTGTCTTCACAAATAAAGCTTTTCTTTACTTGACTTTTGACAGAATATAAGTGAAAAGAAAGATGTATTTCAGATTATTGTTGTCTTCCCCATTCAGAATAAAGCATCGCTTTTTTATGTTCTCTTAGAAGAAATTACTCTTCTCAAAAGCCTCCTCAAAGCCCCTTTAACTTCCTTGTTTCTCAGGGTGTAGATGAATGGATTGGCCATAGGAGTAATAACACAGTAAAACAGGGTCAGAAACTTGGACAGATCTTGAGGACCATTCCCTGAAGGCTGCATGTAGATATAGATTCCAGGACCATAAAATAAAGAGACCACCAATAAGTGTGAAGAGCAAGTATTGAAGGCTTTAAGTCTCCCATCAGCAGAAGGAATTCTAAATACAGCTCGGGCAATGTAACTGTAGGAAATAAGAATCATAAAGAGGGGACCCATTAGCAGAAGGGTGGCCACTACTGCTAAAGTAATCTCATTGACTGTAGTGTCCACACAAGCCATTTTAATAAGACCAGGAAGCTCGCAGAAAAAGTGGTCCAGTACCTGATTCCCACACAGGGGGAGCTGGACTGTGAGTGTGGACTGCAGCAGTGAATTGGCCAGACCAAAGAGCCAAGCAGTGCTGGACATGTGCAGGCAGACCTTATGATCCATGATTATGGAGTATCTCAGAGGCTGACACACAGCCACATAACGGTCTAAGGCCATGATGCCAAGCAGGATACATTCAGTACAGCCTAACCAGTGAAATATATAAGCTTGAGTCATGCAGCCTACATAAGTGATGTTTTTGTTAGGAGACCCTAAGTTGAATAACATCTGCGGTACAGTTGTTGTAGTGAAACAAAGATCCAAAAAGGAGAGATTGGTGAGAAAGAAATACATGGGACTTTGTAGTTGGGAGTCTAGTTGAGAGACCAATATAATAGCACTGTTTCCCAACAATGTGAGAATGTAGGAAGTCATTAGGACAAAGAAAAGAGGGAGATCCAACCATGGGTATTTGGTAAAGCCCAGGAGAATGAAGTCCTCTGGAGAACTTTCATTTATGTGCTTCATTGAATTTTGTTGGGACACACCTGCTAAAAGAAGAAATATTAGGATTATTTAGAACAAAATAACACTGAGTCAGCAGAAATGCTGATAAAATTAGGGGAAATACTTTTACATGGGAGAGATGGAGCACATTCAGTAGAATTCAAATAACAAGAATTAGTATTATTAGTAGCTCCCTAGTATTACTAGTAGCAGTTGAAAATTCCTATGAGTAAAGAAAGGATAGACAGATAATTGGTATATATAAACACACAAAGTACTCTACTTTATAAGTTGTAGACCTGGGCAGTGGGTTAATGAGCACTGTTTATTATGCCTCTCTTGCCTGACTAAAAAAAAAAGCCAAAAGAGAGTGAGCATTGCATTTCGTCCCCCATCAGAGTCTCATCTAGGATTTTAATCTAGGTGAAATGATGCCAAATGAGGGGTGAAAGAATGTTAGAAATCTGAACTCCTGCTTTGGTGATTTATGTTCCCTGGTGACAATATCAAAGGATATGTGTAATATAGTATCTTTTGGGGGTGGAATCTTGCCTCTGTCCTTTTAATTTATGTTTGTTTGACAGGTTAGATTCATCACCTTTGCCATTGATTCTGTGAAATATCATTCTTCAAATAATTTGTTTCTGCTTATGTTGTCAAGATTCCTGTCTCTGTTTACAACCAAGGACATTTACTAATAAAATGATGACAGAAAATGGACTGTAAGCTTCTGTGAGTGTTTCCTGAGCCAGAAAACTTATGACCAAAGAGTGAGACTCTAAGAAATGGAATGAGTATATTTGGAGCATTCAAAGTCTTCATGGCACATTACTGCCTATCTATCCATTCCAACCCCTTATATCTGACGAAGCAATTGTGCTTGGAAATGCATTATCTCCTCATTTGAGATAGATATAGGGGTTAAAAAAAGCCCATTTTCCTCATGGCCCACCTCACAGTCAGAAAATATACAGAGTTAGACTCCAACAAGATTTGTAAGAGCAAATGAAAAGATGAAGCAGAGGAAAACAATGTAAGAAACAGAAAAGCACTTCACTAAGTATGCATAAAGATTTGTAGACTGTATGTGAGAATAAGTTGTAAGAGTACTAGACCAAGGAAATTAGAACATGCATTTATTAGAATGGGTACCTTTACCAAATGTATTCGGATCCTTTTATTGGTTGGAACATTGAGTTTAGTTCACTTGGTTTTAAAGTGACCCACTTAAGAAATAGCGGTTTTCCAAAATTCAATATTTTTCCAAATAATATTAATTTTCTAAAATTCATTATCTTCAAGGAAGGACCTTGCAGCAGTGAGTGGATATGTGGGATATCTAAGTTCACATAATTGATGAGAAATTGGTGATGAGGAGGACAAAAATCATCATTTCACGTGATTCATTTGTTTTGAAAGGGAGAAAGCTGTAAAGGTGACCCAACAGAGAGTGGAAACTATAGAACAATCTCATTGATTTCACATGCAAGCAAGATTCTACTGAAGATTATCCAAAACCACTGGAACAGCACATCAGCAGAGAACTGCCAGATCCAGGCTGGTACTAGAGATATTGTAGCTGATGTTCAATGGATCTTAGCTGAAAGCAGAGAAAACCAGAGGAATGTCTATCTGTGTTTCATTGACTATGCAAAGGTGTTTGACTGCGCGGGTCATAACAAACTGTGGCTGACTCTGAGAAGAATGAGAATCCCAGAACACTTGATCATTCTAATGCGAAACCTATACTTGGACCAGGAGGCAGTTGTCAGAACAGAGCAAGGGAACACTGCATGGTTCAAAATTGGAAAGAACTTACGCCAGGGATGCATCCTATCTCCATACCTTTTCAACCT